TGGCCATAGCTCGGACCCGAGACCAGTACTTAACAGAGTACGGCCCAAAGCCCCTCAAGAACTCGCCACCCTGGATCGCATCTTTAGAAAAGACAGCGCGCCGAGAGCAGGGCTTGAATAAAGCAGCCGGCCACAAGGTCGGAAAGGTGAAGGGAGAAAGAGCGGGGCGAACGAAGAAGTAGAGGGGCTTCCAGTCCTTGATGGAGTCGAACAACCCCTCAAAAAGCTGTCGCCCCAGTCGAGCGGCAACCTGAACAAAGCCCGGCGAGTGCGAGCCAACCTTGTTCACGGTAAAGAGATACCGAAACAGGTCCAGATCCGGCTCACACATCCACCAGTGGCAGAGATTTATGAACCAGGTGAGGAGGCGATGAGAATTGGGCACTAGTTGACCTGGAACCAGATTATAGTGGCGAAAGAAGAGGGGGAGAAATGGACACGGAGGAACTCGGAAGCCGAAGGCAACCGAGTGCAAATGAATACCCACACAACCCTCCGGCGGGTCATGAATGGGCCGGCCCTCTGGGGCAAAAACTAAGGCCGAAGGCCCAAGTAGAAAGTGGGCCATGTCCAGGTCCGCCGCAGTAACGACAAACGGTGGCTCAGCCGGCCGGACGATAGAATCAAACTTGCCTCGCGGACGTCCGACGCTGTCTGGCAGAGCCGCTACCGTCGTTAGAGGAGCAGGGCTCATGGGAGTAGCCCCCCCCCCCCCCCCCCCCCCCCGAGGAAGAGTGGGTCTGTTGAAAAGAAGACGTCGATGGAAGACCGTCTGGAATTTCCATGCGACGGGGAGAAGAAGAAGAAGAAGGAGAAGAAGATGACGGGGAAGTCGCCACTGGGTTCTCAGCCGAGCGACGACGAGAAGAAGAAGAAGGGGAGGAGGAAGACATTTACCAACCTGAGAGTGGACTGAGGAAGTTGCAGAAAGGACTGGAGATGCTTGACGCTAAGTATGGGGAGTTAGAGAAAGTGAGGAGAAGAGAGGAGAAGATGGCTATTTAAAAAGGGGGGGAACCCCAATGGACGGCCACGTGTCACCCTCTCATTGGAGAAGAGAAGGGTGACAAGAAGTGAAAAGACGCCGTAATTAATGCCTCGGAAGGCGGAGAGACGGTTCAGACCTAGGGCTAGCCTACGGGCGGCGCGTCTGCCCTAGGCGTGGACCGGTGGCAGTGACCCGGCCTGCTAAGCTAAAAGCCCATCGTAGACCACGGCCTCTGGGCCCACCGGGTCTAGGTTGGAAGTTTCCAGAAAAATCCGAGGGAGCCCGGCCCATCAGTCAACACGGGCAGGGCTCGCAAAAGATTCTAGTCTCAGAGTCGGACAACCAGATTTGACGACTCCTCAACAAAGAAAGTCCCCATGGGGGAGGAGTTGGAAGTCAATCGAGGAATGGATAAGCATCAAATAAAACAGGAAAGCGTACAATTTATTCGATAAACACGAAAAGTACAAGGCCCAAGACTCGGCCAAAGGCGAGATACAAGGGAAAAGCAGATCAGGGCTTGGATTCCTTCTCCTCTGACCGGCGAGCAAGCGGAGGACCCTCCAAGAAGTACTGAGGTCGGAAAGGCAGATGACTCGGCTCAGGCTCCGACACCTCGTCCAAATATACAGCCGGCTTCCCATCATCGATCATTTGCAGGGGCCTCTCTAGGGCGCTCGGAGACATAGCCACCCCAAAGAGCGGAGGAACCTCCCACACTTCTTCCTCCTCTGGAACTGGGTCGTCCATCACTGGTTCCATTTCCGCGACAGTAGGCTCCATACATCAGGTCCAGCATATCCGGGGGTACCACAATGGGGTCTGAAGCCGAGTCGCCCACCAAACGCCCTCCATTAGCCAGCCTCTTTTGCTTCAGCGTCTCCAGTCGAGCATGCTCCTGGTTGCGGATGGACCAGCGGCGATCACCGTTTCTGTAGCTCATAGTTCCGCGCTTTTGTAAATGAGGTATATTGTGATTTGCACGAGCCATGAAGGGTCCTTATATAGCCTTATTGAAGCAAATGCCTATGCAAGAATCACGGAAGAAACTGTAACTGACGTGATTGAACCGGATTAGACGGATGGCGTGAATCTCTGTCAGAGATTAGTCCCATCAAATCCGCCTGGAAAAAGCAAGATTCGCACGCCTCGCAGAAAAGATTAGATTCACCCGAGATATGGGGAATCTTGCAGATGTCAGACTGAAAAAGGCCTGACGTTGTGGCCGACCCCTCAACCGGTCGGTCGGAAGGATACACGACAAGCATGAAACATAGGACAAGACGAAAAATAGCATTTTATTGAAAGGAGGGGGCACAACGAGTCGGGAGCTTATTACAACAAGAAATAATTAAAATGCTCCTAAGTAAGCCCCTCGGAAATATGAAGTCGATACCGGGCGAGGTGATCACTCGCCGGGTTAAGAGGAGTCGCTTCCAAAGAACCTTCCCCCCGATGGCCCAGGGGAGAGGGGCAGAACGAATCCCAGAAGGGTGGCATGAGTGGCAGATCCACAGGCTCCTCGTCATCAGGATACGCCTCCAAGTAACGAGCGTAGTCTTCATCGTCCATCAGACCCGTGACTGGCCCGTCGGGGTCATCCAGGGGGATAGAGAAAGTCATGCGGAAAGTCAATTGTTCAGGGACGGCCACCTCCACAAAGGATCCATCTTGAGAAGTCACTCTGGCGGTTGTTGGAGTCGGCGGACGAAGCAAAGATGGCACGACCTCTCGCTGAGGCGGGGTCGGCGGCTGAGGAGCTGAGGAGGTGACACCAGCAGGAGATCTCCGAGGAGTCGGACGAGAAGCTTTTTTCTTGCTTTCCCTCTCGAGTCGAGTCCGCTTCGAAGGAAGGGGACGTCGAGGAGAGCCGAAATCGATCCGCTTCCCTTTTAGAGGTGAGCGACCCATGGTGGACCAGTGGATAAGATGAGGAGAGTATGAGACCATTTATAGGAGCTGCATAGAGTTAGGAGAATCCAAACGGTTCCGCTGAATCCAGGAAGATAGTAGAGAATCCGGGCGTCATAAGGGATATTCAATGCATGGATTCGGTGATTGAGAGAGACGATCGGTTACTACTTTTCCAAATCCGGATTAGCGGACCGGATGTGGAAAAGTGAGGGACTAGTTGATGGGGTGAGAACCCCGGCCCAAGAAGGGAATCCAAGACAAGGAACGTGGGCTAGCAGTGAAAGAAGCCCAGTGGGAACTTGGACCGAGTCCAGGAGTCGGCCCAGGCCCAAGTCCACGAAGAGACGGTTCAGAGCCGTTAGGCGAGCGTCGAGGAGCCTCATTTAAGAAGACCCGGCCTCGTAGCCGTTGGAGGAATTCAAGGCAGGACTCGGTCAGACTGTTACGGATCCAAGGAGCCGTTGGCCGATCCGGTAACGGCACCCAACGGCTCAATGGTTGTAACTAGCCTTGAAGTCAGCCATTAATGGCCTTCAAGTCGGTGGGAGGGGAGCCTGCTATATAAAGGCTCCTCCACCCTTGTAATCCAGACAAGTTCATCCCGAGAGAGGGGAGAGACACATTGAAAGCTATTACGAGTACTGCCATTTCTTTGCAATTTTGTGTGAAAGGTGAATCTACCAGCTAAGGTTGTGTTGGACCTCCCTGGGCCTGAAAACCCAAAAACCAACAACAACAACAACAACAACAACAACAACAACAATAATAATAATAATAATAATAATAATAATAATAATAATAATTGATGGGGTGTGGACCCCGACCCAAGAAGAACAAAGCCCAAAAGATAGAGTCTAGGAATAATGGAAGAAGCCCAGAGCGGTTGAGGCACGGCCTAGCGGATAAAGGCTTACAGGGCCCGACAAAGGCTAGGGCCAAGTCCAGGAGTCGGCCCAGGTCCAGGTTGAGGTAACGACTCGGCAAGAAGCCGTTGCTCGGCATTTACAGCAACATTAAAGGAGCTCGACCAAGCGAGCCGTTGAGAAGCCCAAAAGAGCCGTTGGCCGGCCTGGTAACGCCACCCAACAGCCCCGAAACGTAATTAGCCTTAAAATAGCCTTTTAATATGTTTTAACTCTGTGAGAGGAGGGCCTACTATATAAAGGACCCTCCGTGAATGTAAGAGGGGGAATCCATGCCCAGATAATAGAGAAACACCATTTTCTTTACTACTATTGTTGCCATTTCCCAGAAGCCGCATTGTGAAAGGTGTATCTACCAACCAAGGTTGTGTTGGACCTCCCTGGGCCCAAAAACCCTAAAACCAACACTGGCGCCGTCTGTGGGGATCGAAACAAAGAGCCACATCCGTTCTTGAACAGGCGAGTTCACGAGAAAGACGAGGATAGTGTAAGAAAGACGAAGGCTTTGCAACATGTCGAAAGGATGAAGCCAGGCCATCAACCGTAACAATGTGCCGGAAGTCAACTTGAGAGAGTAGCTGAACCAGCGGAACTCCCAAAGTCAAGAAAACGAGTCGGCACCCTTAAATCGGCCACCGCCAATGATACCCCTCACCCCCGAACAACTTCGAGCCATCGGACGGGCTATCGTCGCTGAAAATCGGGGAGTGGGAGAACAGTCAGCCTCACGACCGCCACCCCGCAATCAACAACTGCCTCAAAGATCTGGAGAAGGTAGACAAGGAGATCGGCGAGCAGAGAGCTTACCAGTGCGATCCGTCCATTCGAGGTTTGGACCGAATGTCTCGCGTCAATCGGCGAGAGAACGACTGGGGGAGAGAGAGCCCAGTCGCGCACCGGTGGGTCCACAAAATCGAGAGGCCGCCCGAGAAAAAATCCGTACTAGAAGGACCAGGACTCGGGCACGACGGACCGAGCGACCTATACGCAACGATGACCAACAAGCCGAATCAGAGGTCGGCGAAAGCACGGAGTCCATCGGGAACCACACGCGAAACGGGGGCGATGTGGCTCACTTGGCTCGAGAATTGCGAAACCTAAGGGAGCAAGTGGAAGGTAGGACCAAGTCCCTTAGACGAACGTTGCTCACCTCCTTGGCTTTCTCCACTGAGATCATGTCTTACAAAGTACCCGGCGACTTAAAATTCCCGGATCAGGCCACTTCCGACGGATCCGGCGATCCGCGGGAACACCTTCTAAGCTACCAGGCTAAGATGCAGGTTTTAGGAGTCCGAGACCCTGTCATGTGTCGCGCTTTCCTACCGACACTAAAGGGCTCGGCGCAGAGATGGTCGGTAGCTCTGCCCCCGGGATCAATACACAATTTCGAAGAGTTAGCCAACCGTTTCATGAGCCACTACGCGGCCAACATCAAGCTACAGAAAGATCTGACCCATCTGGGAGACGTTCATCAAGAGGAGGGTGAATCCCTCAAGACCTACCTGGCCCGATGGCAAAAAGAGATCCAGTCTATCGAGGAAGTTGAGGACCAGACCGCCCTCACCTTCTTCATCGAATCTTTACGATCCGGGCAGTTGTACCGTGATTTACGGGACAACCGGCCAACCACCTACGCAGAGGCCATACATATGGCTAACAAACGAGCCAACACGGAACAGGCCATGAAGCACAAGAGGCAGCGTGAGGCCGGGGGATCCGCTAATGGAAAGAGAACCCGTGCGGAAGCTTAAGAGAGATGCCCGGAACCGGCTAGGCGACCTGAAGCAAGGCGCCCATATGACAGGCCCAGCATTCGCCCTTATAGGCCGACTCCCCAGCACCCATTGCAGGAAGTGCAAGCAGTCGCGCCTCCTCCGCCTCCCCCGACCGAAGAGCGTGCAACAAACGAGGAGCCAGGTAAGGTGTCTAAATATTGTCGCTATCATAAGTCGTACACCCACAACACGGAAGAGTGTTATTACCTGAAGAAGATCATGGAAGGGATCATCCATCAAGGAACCCCGCCTCCCAACCAATGGCGAAGAAGATCAACGGCCCGGGAAGACGGCGACCCCACAGGGGCGGCAGAGGGTAGTCGCGGAAAGCAGCCGGCGACTGAGGAAGAAGAGATCCAATGGCGATAGAAGCCGATTATCAACATGATAGTCGGCGGCCCAGAGGGAGGCGATTCTGCAAACACCAGAAAGGCCTGGGCTCGATAATTGTATGTTGGGACAGTGTACGGACGAGAAGGTGGCTCGAAAAAAGCCTGCCGAGAGCCTATTGTCTTCACTGACAAAGATCTATCCACAGGAGAGACACCACACCGCGATGCCCTGGTCATTGCGATGGATGTAAATGGGGTAGTCATTCGGCGAATCCTGGTAGATACCGGGAGCAATGTCAACGTCTTGTATCTCGAGACCTTCACCAAAATGGGGCTAACACGAGAGCAGCTGATCTCGGTCAAGACGCCACTCGCCGGCTTCACGAGCGACTCTGTGGAGGCAGAGGGGTCAATTACCCTTCCAGTAGAAATCGGCAGCTACCCTAACGTGCAGAAGCTGGACATGAAGTTCATCGTGGTCGACCTGACCTGTTCGCACAATGCAATACTCGGCCGACCCGGCTTGGAAGATTTGGCAGCATTAATCTCCATTGAGTACCTCTGCTTGAAGTTCCGTACGCCGAATGGAATAGGCACAGTCCGCTGTGATAGAAGAGTCGCCCGTGACTGCTACTTGCAAGCTTGCAGGGGCATGGGTAAGCGTGAAATACAAGTCCATGAGATCACAGAACGACCTCCAAAGAAGAAATGATACCCCGCCCGGAGCCGGCCGTAGAATTGGAAGATATCGAAATCGACCCCGAACGACTAGAGAGACGAGTTCGAATTGGAGTCGGCCTCCGAGATGAGGTGCAAGAGGGAGTCATAAAGGTATTACGAGAGAATCGCTTGGTCTTCGCGTGTGGGCCAGAGGATATGCCAGGAGTGGACAGGTCTATCATTTCACATCGGCTCGCCGTCGATCCCGATCATCGACCAGTGATCCAGAAGAAGCGATATCTAGCCAAAGACCGCAGGGAATTTGTGAAGAAAGAGGTAAAACACTCTATTGGCCGCCGGTCATATACGGGAAGTTAAATATCCAGAATGGCTGGCTAACGTGGTGCTCGTACCGAAGCCCCCGGCTTGGCGAATGTGAGTAAACTATACCAACCTCAACAAAGCCTGTCCGAAGGACCCATTTCCGTTACCTCGGATCGATCAGCTAGTCGACAAAACGGCAGGGTCGGCATTGTTAAGTTTCATGGACGCCTTTAGAGGATATCACCAAATCTTCATGCACAAGGCCGACGAGGAAAAGACTGCATTCTTGACCCCGGATGGGGTATATTGTTATCAAGTCATGCCATTCGGACTAAAAAACGCGGGAGCCACGTACACGCAAATGGTCGCTCGGTTGTTCCAAGACCTATTGGGAAAGTCTATGGCGGCTTACGTAGACGGCATGTTAGTAAAGAACCGAGAGGAAATCAATCATGCTGGGGACTTGGCCGATTGCTTTCAGGTAATGCTTAAGTATAATTTACGGCTTAATCCGAAGAAGTGCGCTTTCGCCGTGCAAGGTGGAAAATTCTTGGGATATATGGTTACCAAGAGAGGCATCGAGTCCAACCCGGAGAAGGTGCAGGCCATCATGGACATGCAGCCTCCCAGTACTGTTAAGGACCTACAGCGGTTGACTGGTCGACTAGCTGCCCTTAGTCATTTTTTAAGCAAGTCAGCAGATAAGACTGTGCACTTTTTTGAGTCTATGAAGAAGAAGGAGGGCTTCGTATGGACAGCCGAGTGCCAGCAATCGTTCGAAGAGCTGAAAAGATATCTTTCCACACCTCCGGTGCTGTCTACCCCCCAGGTCGGTGAGCCGTTATTCTTATACCTAGTTGCATCCTTGAAGGCGGTGAGTTCGGTACTCGTCCGAGAAGAGGAACGTGCCCAGCACCCGGTATATTACGTGAGTCGTTCTTTGAAAGCAGCCGAAGCGCGATACACGCCCTTGGAGAAAATCGTCTACGCTTTGGTAATCACCGTACGCAAACTGGCGCCCTACTTCCAAGCCCACACCATTCGCGTCTTGACCGACCAACCCCTGTGAAGCGTGTTACGGAAACCCACGTCGTTCAGCCGGCTCGTGAAATGGGCAGTGGAGTTGACTCAGTACGGGATCGAGTACCAGCCTTGCCCATCAATTAAGGACAGGCCTTGGCCGACTTCTTGGTCGAATGCACTGCCGGAGAAGGCGACAAGGACGATATCATGGAAGATGGCCCCAGCGAATGGTGGGAGATGCACGCGGATGGAGCAGCAAGCCGCTAACATTGCGGCGGTGGAGTTATGTTGATTACCCCGGAAGGGTTCAGGCTTTATTGCGCTTTGAGTTTTCTGTTCCCAACATCTAACAACGAGGCCGAGTATGAAGCTGTGATGGGCGGCCTACGACTCGCCAAGACACAGGGGGCGAAACACCTATGAATCAAGACCGATTCCCGTTTAGTAGTTGGACAAGTGTCCGGGACTTGCGAAGTGAAGAACGCTCGGATGGCTCAGTATAAGAAAAAAACGGTAGAACTGTTAAAGGGATTCGGCGCTTACGAGATAGAGTACATCTCGCGGGCTGACAACACAGAGGCTGACATACTGTCGAAAATCGCTTTGGAAGGTGTGCCGGACCACCTCGTTAAAATCTGCCAAAAGGAGGAACTGGTACAACCCAGCATAGAAGAAGCGACTTTAGAGTTTCAGCAAGTGACGACTGGAGAATGGGACCGAGGGAAAAACCCTTAAATGTTCTGGATTGAAGATATTCGACGGTACAAGGAAAAGAGGGAATTGCCAGAGGACCCCGGAGTCACCGCCCGAGTCCGTCGCAAGACTCCGTCATTCAAAATTATCGATGGACAACTATACAAGCGGTCATTTGGGGTCCCCTCCTCAGATGCTTACTCAGACCAAAGGCGGAGAAAATAATGGACGAAGCCCATCGTGGAATCTGTGCAGCTCACCAGGGCGCCCACACTCTCGCCCGGAAGCTAGTCGTTCAGGGATACTACTGGCCTACTTGTAACACCCCGTATTACGATCCCTAAAACCAATTAATCATTTAACCAATTACCCAAAAGAAAGAATTAAATCACAATAATTAATTAGGAAAGGCCCACCATAGTCCATGGGCCCTTATCCCTAAACCCAATCCTTAGTCCCAAAAGGAATAGAGTTAGCAAACATATAGTAATTAGGCCTAAGTAAGACTCTTAGATATATAAATAGGGAACATAAGGAGGCACCTAGAATTCCCACCACAATAATCCCTCACCACACAAGAAGTTCCAAGAATTCCCCTAGGAGAAATCAAGAAAGAAGAAAGCTTCAAGAAAGACCCTTCATAGCTAAAGAATTAATTAAGGCTAAAAGGTAACCCATGTCTCAACAAAACCTATTTTCATAGCTATGATTCCCCTCTTAGGATTTCCCCATATTATTGTGTATTGATGATTTGTGATATTATTATTAATGATTGGTGGGATGATTCCATGGGTGATCTTGATGATGAGAGGTTCTTGATAATTATGGTGTTCTTGACGATTATATAACGTTCTTGATAATTATATGGTGTTCTTGATGTTCTTAGTGATTATATGAGGTTCTTGATAGTTACATGATATTCCTACCGAATCTTGATTTTGGAAGATGAATTGTGTTCTTGTTGATTTAAAAATAATTAGAACCCTAGGTATATCGTGGAATTCGTATGGTATTATTCTTGGTATATTGGGTGGGAATTCGCATGATTGGGTGTTGATTATGTTTAGAAAAGCATGATAGGTTATGTGCCATATGTTCCTTGATTTTGATCCGTTAATTGTCTACGTGTGTTATCAATTGCGTTTGAAAGTGTCTAAGCATGGTTTCGGGTTCCACAAAGGTTCCCGGGGCGTTTTTGGTGAAAAAGAGTCAGTGGGGGGTAGTTGGGGGTAGGGGACCCGTGTAACACCCCGTGTTACGGCCCTTAATCCCGAATTAATTATTTAATTAATTCCATTAATAATAATTAAAAAGGATTTAATTTGATTAGAAATCCCTTTAATTAATTAACGTAGTCCACCACGGATCATGGACCCTTGCCTAAACTAGAGTCATAAGCCTATTAGAGGATGTTCTTGATTTATATTTGGGTGGGAATTGGCATGTTCGGGTGTTGTTTATATTTAGAAGTCATAATAGGATAAGTCCTACATGATTATTGCTTTTGATCCGTTAATTGCTTATGTGATGTCGTTATTTGCGTTTAAAAGTGTCTAAGCATGGTTTCGGGTTCCACAAAGGATCCCGGGACGAATTTGTGATGAATGAGTCAGTGGGGGGTAGGTGGGGGTGGGGGAACCCACCACCTACCCGCTGCCCAAAGAGGCGCTGCCCGGCAGCGGGCAGCCACCGGGCAGCCGGCTACCCGCTGCCCGAAACAGCGCCCACCGGCGGGCAGCCGGCGGGTGACCCCCACCCACCGGCTACCCGCTGGTCCACACCCCACCCCAGGTCCCCGGCTTCCCCGTTTGATGTTCCCCGTTCCCCATGGTGTCCCAAAAGACCCTGTTTGTCGTGCCTGAGTCTAGTCTGGAATTTCGGGTACCATTCGTAGGTTAAACGAGTCTTAGGAATTGCATGCTAGTTGAATTGGTAACCCGTGGA